CTTGGTATTTCATATCTGAAAGAGGAAATTAAAGGTGATATTACATATCTGATATTTCAGCTTCGCTGGAGAGATGGGAAACAAAGAGCGACTTTTCTCTTACAGCAACTGCCTGAATTTAACAGCCAAGTGTGTTAGCATAACAACAAAAAGTAGATTCATGCCAGAATCAATCATCTTTCGACTTTGTGCTAAACATTTTCTGTTATTAAACGTCTGAGCCTGACATATTTTGGACATGTACCTCAAGAAAATCAGGAGTTTCTTCAACTGTCTCATCCTCTTCTATCACAAGGTTCTGTCGTCGAAGGTACTCTTCGTAACTGAAATATCAAAAACCCTGGTGATCTCTCCATGTATACACAATGTGGTCTTCATAACAAAACTCAAAAGGCAAATAGTCAAATCACTTACCAAAGCTTCTCTACAAGGTTGTACCTAATCAACAACAAAAAAAAGTAGCGTTAGTCTGCTGTAATGGCATCAAAACCAGTGTTACAGAAACAAATATCCATAACATGGAAAATCAAATTACTTGGCTCGTGGAGGGTATGAATCTTTCTTAGGCACATAAAGAAAAATCTTATGATCCTGCAAATATTCGCCATTCTTCTTTTCCAGCGCCTATAGTATAAAATATTTAATCAGCTATCGTACTTTCAAATATCTAACTTGTACAGTTTTCATCACAAGTATAAAACAAGTCCCACCTTCTTTGCTTCGTTAGCAGAAGCAAACTCAACAAAGCCATAGCCCACATGCTTACACTCGTGGTTTACAATAAGTCGAACACTAACAACTTCTCCAACATTCCTGAAAAATTTTATGCTGTAAAAGTGGAGGATAAAATTATCAGTCATGAAAAAACTTGCTCCCGAGAACGATTAGTGGGAATTAAAGGTGCTACTTACATATGCAATATTCTAGTTTGGGGAGAGAGATTGGCAACAAACAGTACTCCCTGAATAAAACAGCCGTGCGTGTTAGCACAAGTCCAAAGAGAAAAGGACTTAAATTTCATAACAACAAAAAGTAGACGCATCTAAAGATTCAAGTACCTCAAGAAATTGGGGAGTTCCGTCAAGTCCTTCCACTGCCTCATCTTCTTCCATCAGAAGGCTTCCTCGTCGAAAGTAGTCTTCTATCAGATGAAGGCTTTTTACATTGGACCTGGAATATCAAAAACCCTAGTGATCTCTCTCTCCATGTATACCAAAAACATCAGCCAATGTGCTCTTGATAACAAACTCAAGATGCAAATAGTTAAAATCACTTACCAAACCTTGTGATCTATGCAAAACCTAATCAACAAACAAAAACAGTAACGGTTAATACTCTGTAGTGGCATCAAAAACGCTAGCAATAAGTTACGGAAACGAGTCTCCATAAGCATAAATCAATTTACTTGGGTAGAGAGGATGGAACTTCCTTAATAGCCACAAGATGAATCTCTCGACCATGCAAATATTCACCTTTCTTCTTTTCCAGGGCCTGGAGTATAATCAGCAAACGAAATTTCAAAGAAGTATTTTTCATCATTAATATAAAATAAGTCTCACCTTCATTGCTTCTTTAGCAGAAGAGGGTATAAATCATTAGATA